AAAAAACTTTCCAATCATAATTTGATCTCACCTCACCATAGTAATTACATTATTTCAACAACCAAAGTTATGTTAATGTCATGGACCACAACAACAAACCCAAGTGAGGCTCAAATTGTTGGACCGTTCAATGGTAGTCACAGCTGCCGCAATATGTTGATTTCCCAAGCTTATGATTTTATGAATAATTAATAGGTAATGGAAGGCTTAATTAGTAGAGAAAATCTACTTTACATGGTTCAACAAATTCAATGCCAATCTTTCAAAGAAAAAGGAAAAGCAAACAGAGCATATTCGGTTCCCCATCAAAGAAGGGGAAAAAAAGCAATAAAGAACTGTTTGGTCTGAAACCACAAATGAACTTTAGAAACGGTGAGGACATAACTCTATTTGACAAAACATGTTTTTATATATATTTCATCAAGAGCCGTAAAAGCAAAGAAAATGTTGGTGATTAAGGTGCTTTGACATTGAAAAATTTAGTGACGGGAAGGCACAGCAGGAGCAATTAGGCATCTAAAGGGGGAAAAAGAGCACTTTGATCACAAAGCAAGACATAAAATTGAAGTCATAAGAAAAAAGAAGATAAAAAAAGGCAGGCTGGTCTGTTCTGATTCTTAACTACGAAAAATGTTAAAAGCATGTAGGTGACTGACTTCAGGTAATATGCACAAAAAATGTAGTTAATTTTTATCTTTTAGAATTCAATAAAGAGATAAACACCTATTTATGAAATTAATGAAGGGAAGGGGGATTAATTGCGTAATTCACGTGGGAATTGAAGATCCACAAAATCCAAAAGGATAAGCAAGTAATCCAAAGTCAACAGAGAAAAAGCATGTACTGGACAGCAACCAATCTGAGAGTAACCACCTCTTTTCCTTTTTCAAAACAATGAATTTGAGACTTGATTTAAATCCAGATTAATTAAGATAATTTGTGCTAGACAAGACTCTAATACTCTACTTTCAACCTTGCTTTATCTTTTTTCCGATGTGACGGTGAAAGGCAAATTGGTGTTGTCATATTCACACATCTGATTCTTTTTCTAGACCTGCTTTGGTCATTGCAACTCTGCAAACATGTAGTTAGTAAGTAGGCATATTTGTTTTTGGATTAGTAGTTTTGGATTTAGGGTTATTTCTAGAATTTTTTTCCTTTCATTGTCAAATTTCTGGAAATCAATGTGTTAAAAGCCTGGGACTAACCTAAACTCTAGAGGGCACTGCAGGTCAAGGAGAGAAGACCCTACAAGATATTGCTATCATAAATAGGGAAAGCCCCTCTAGGTGTATACAACGAAAGCAAAGCAAAACATAGGAAGTTCTCGTGGAGAAGAAAGAACGGATGTGCACAAATGTCTAGTAAGAGTTGTTTGTGGGGTTGCTTTCATTCAACAATCCATTAACTCTTTGGGTGCATTGTCTGCTACAAGGTCCCCGAATTCTGGTTTTATTTGTTGTTTTCCACCTTTACTTTGTCCTCACTAGAATGCTATTCAAAATAACAATTATCTTACACATAATTTTGGTTTTAACACATGATTTGATATACAATAAATAATGATGATAGAAAAATCAAAAGTAATCATTATATATTAATAAATTGTGGATATTAAATTTATGATTACCATAAACTATTACATATAATATGATAATAGTTGACATAAATTAAAGCAACTCGTATGCAATATGAGCGTTGATGGTAGTCATTGTAGAAACATAACCAATATGGATGAGAAATCACATTATAAATAGCTCCATAACTATTACTCTGATTAAATCTACCAAGATCGTTACGCATATGTTATTTCAGCATGATTTTTTTCACTTCAACCCTCTTGTCTTGCAATTGGTGGAACCTATTTTTCAAAATTCGCTTCACCGTTTCCTCCAAATCATAAGTCGCGAACTCGAATCCTCTGCTTATTTTGGTCTGACTATTGGGTTCTATGATCGCATCAGTGATGGTGCCAAATGCATCAAAATATTTGGTGAAATTTTCGTGGGTTATGGCATGAGGTAACCCTCCCACAAATATCTGCCTATAGTTGATTGATACTTTTGGTTACCCTAGTTTCACCTCAACCTAATTTAAGAAATTATTAATAAAAAAGTAACTTGATTCAACATATTACTAGATTTCTATTTAGGAATTTAATATTGTGTCAATCAATTCAAATATTAAATATTAAAATGTAGAAAAGAGAAAGAAAAAAAAATTTGATTGAGGAATTTAATATCTTGTGTCAATAATTCATATATTACCAACAACCAGTTGCTCTAGTGGGATAAGACACTAGGTCCCTTAAGCAAGGTCAGGAGTTTGAATCCTGACGTTTGTGAATAAAGCAAACGGGGTTGAGAGGGTCACCCTCACCTATGAAGTACCCGATCTGGATTAGTCGGTCAATAGAATATGAATGCAAAATTTTGTCACATGAACTGCTAATTATGGATTGATAAGAAAGATCACTTGAGTTATTTTGTGAAAACTAAGTCGCATACCTTTTTTCCATTTATAACAGAAACATCTTAAGTCTAAGCACATATATTATTGTTGGAGTCATCATGTCACTTGAATTTTGCTATTTTGGATTATTGTTAGTTGGGTTAAAATCGTCGGTTAGGGGTTTTTCAGGGGATTGTGTCTTCTGTGGAGGTTCGATCGATGGTGACAGTGGAAAAGGGCAATGGCTTGCGTAGGTATATGGATTAAAATTAAGGTTTTCAAAGTTTTGGGTGTTTTTTAAGATTTTCAAAAATTTGGGGATTTTTAGAAAAAATATAATTTTAAGTTTTTTTAAATTTTAAATAAATTTTTTAAAATTACATAAATATGACATGTGTCATTTAACAGAGTTTTTTAACAGCAATTACATCCGAGACACTAAAAACAGTAACGTTTGTAATGTTAAGCATCTAGATTGAATGAAAAATAATTTAGGCACCTAAATGAGAAAAAATAAAATTTGTACACATTTTGTATTTTAAGCCTTTTTTAAATTTCTTTTTTTTATAGAAGCCAATAATTTTATTAAAAATAGAAAATGTCCAAATTATAATGAAGGTTTACAACTACAATCGTAAATTAAACACATAATAATGATATTTTCCTAAACACAAGAAAAACTAACAAGGAAAATTTGACCGCATTAACAAACGAACTACAATGATCATACAAGAAAAATGTTAAAAACCTAACCAAATAAATTTGGATAAAAAGTATATATGAACATATTTGACCGTATTGACAAACGAACCACAAAAGAGAAACTATTAAAAGGACTCTGACAAGTCGCAAATCAAAATTGAACGACGTGAAAATATTAACCGCGAACGTAAATTTCATATCCAAATATAATTCGAGGTTTCAAAGCAGGAAAGATTAGCATGATAAAAAATAAAATACTATATTGATCAATTGTGGTGATGTCAAATCTAACCCTGAAAAAATAATAAACAAAAATAATAACCAAATAACCGAAAACGTGTCATAAAGACAGAGAAAAGCGTACCACAAAGTTAGAAGAAGATGTGTTATAAAGATATAGAAAAACGTAATATAAATGCATAAGAAGACATGCTATAAAAACCTAATTATTAAAAATAAAAACAAGAAAAAAATAAAATATGCTACTAAAACAAAGGATAACAATGAATACCGACAGTAGACAATCAGCAACACAGTTGATGTCATTGCCGATCTGATAGAGGCAATTTTTCTAGAATTTTTTTTGGAGTTCGGGATGAGACTCGACGAGTTATATGATAAATAATTTCAGGGCAGGTTGGGTACGAGTTTAAGATGGAAAAAAATAATCTGACCCGACCCGATTTAAATTATTAATTTTTTTTATATTTATATAATATATTTAAGATTTTAAGGATTTTTATTTTTATATTATATAATATATTATTTTAATAATTTCAAATATAATAAATAATTATAAATATATAATTATAAAATACATATTTTAAAATATTAATAGATATTTTAATCTAAAAATCAGTGCTGGATAAATATTAAAATTTATCAGGGCGGGATGGGGTCAGGTTTAAGTAATATAATTTCGGGTCCAAAAACAGCCCCACCCAACCCCGTGTCAAACCCTATGCAATTGTCTTTGTAATACCTGATTCAGATTAATCAATCAATAAATTTGGCACAGATAATTATTCCAAAAAAAATCAATAACCTGTTGTTTTTAAAAATAAGAAATGCTTAATAGCTTTTAAAAAAAATTAACGTTACTTCAGAATTTTTTTTCAATAAGTACCAGCTAGTCTTTATTGAAGTATAAGTAAAAAATATATAAAAAAGTTTGTAATAAGCCCAACAAAACAAGAGCCAGGTGTTAAACAAAAACACCCACTAGGCCCAAACAAAGCAACAAAACATAGAAGAAATGAGTCAGGTGAATTAAAAAACAAAACACAAAAACAAATGAAAGACTAGTCCAGCTGAGATGCACACTGCCTTCAACAATGGAGAGGAACTTTCAGATTAAGAGTTGTAGAACAAGGCAGAAGGCCTAAGGATCTGCTGTAAGCACAAGAAGGACCACGATCCTTAAAGTCAACAAAGAGAAGAAATCCAAGCTAAGGTGGATCTAACTATCTTCCATCTTCCGAATTTCTAAAGTAATTAGCTATTGTTAAACTAATTAAGCAATTAATTCTAGAGAACCAATCCTACTTCTATTACTACTCCAAAATAATATAAAATTTGTAAAGTAAGGATAAAAAGAAATTAAGAAATAATATTTTTATCCTCGAATAACTAATAAACAATCCTACTTCTATTACTACTCCAAAATAAGCCATGCAACTAAAAGAGGTACAGTTCGAGTTGATCTCTAAATTTGTAACACACGTAAATTACAATTCAACATATGTTTCCATCTTATATATTGTCTTCACTAACTAGTTTTGGGAATCTCAAGTTTTCTCTATAATTGCTTTCGAAGTCTCGAATTTTCTCCACAATAGTTTTTCTTCATGGCGTTTAATAACCCTAAGCTGTTTATTAATGGGGTTTCTTCAGAAATTACAGAAACATCGTTAAAAGAACACTTCAATAAGTATGGTGAAGTTAAAGAAGTTCTTATTATTGCTCTCAAAAACATCGGTTTTGTTACTTTTTTTGATCCTTCCATGGCTCAAAATGCCCTTCAACATGAACATATTATTCTTGGTCGGAAGGTAAGTTTAATTTCTTTCTTTCTTTCTCCTTTCTACTTTTTAATATTCATTATATGAATTCATTGACACAAGATTAAATTCCTCAATCGAAAATCGGTAACATGTTGAATTAGATTAATTTTTCTTTCATTCTTATTAATTTCTTGAATCAGGTTGAGGTGAAATCAGCGAAACCAAAAGTGTCAATCAACGATAGAAAAATATTCGTGGGAGGGTTACCTCATGCCATAACCCACGAAGACTTCACACAATATTTTGATGCATTCGGCACCATCACCGATGCAGTCATAGTACCCAATAGCCAAACCAAAATAAGCAGAGGGTTCGGATTTGTGACTTATGATTCGGAGGAAGCGGTAAAGCGAGTTTTGAAAAATAGGTTCCACCAATTGCAAGGGAAGAGGGTTGAAGTGAAAAAGGCCGTGCCGAAACAACATATGCATAACGAACCCGCAAGATTTAATCATAGTAATAGTTATGGAGCTATTTATAATGTGAATTCTCAGCCATATTGGTTGGGTTTCTACGATGACTACCATCATACAAATTGCTTTAATTTATACCATCTATTATTGTATTATATGTAATAGTTTACGGTAATCATAAATTTAATCTCCATAATTCATTAACATGATGATTAATTTCAATTTTTCTATCATCGTTATTTAGTGTATATCAAATCATGGGTTAATACCAAAACTAAATTTGTAAGATAATTGCTATTTTGAATTGCATTACAGTGAGGACAGTAACAGTGGAAAACAGTAAATAAAACCAGAATTCCGGGACCTTGTAGCAGACAATGCTCCCAAAGAGTTAATGGATTGATGAATGAAAGCAACCCCACAAACAACCCTTAAGAGACATTTGTGCATATCCCTTCTTTCTTCTCCACGATTACTTGCTCTGTTTAACAGCACTGACTTGACAATCCCTTCCGGAGGTTCGATTTTTGGGTGGATAAGTTGATCATTTTCAATCTAATTAACTAAAAAATAATGAAAGAGAAATTAGGTTTTATAGTTAAGGCTTAGTAATCACGGCATAATGTTTGAAGCAGGTGCCATTCCGAAGGTGAAGCTGGTGAAGAATTTTGCTGAATGGGGGCGATTGTTTTATAATCAATTAACTTAACCATCAATTATTAAATTTGTTAAGGATCGATATTAAAATTCCTATGGACTCGACTACTTTTAGGGATGAACGTTCGGTCAAGTTAAGTAAAAAATTTTTTAAGTTATTTGAGTTGATAAATCATATTTTATAACTCTAACTTGATTTGAAATTTTTTCTAGTCGATTCAAGTCAAGTTTTCGAGTTTCTGTTTAAATTTAATTATAAATATTTATACTATTATGATACTATTTGATTCCGATTTAAATAAGTTTTCATAATCATATACAATATATATATATATATATATTTCTTTATTTTTTATATGAAAATCAATCCACAAATTATTAAAATTTTGAGTTATTCAAGTTATATGAGTTGCATTTTATAACTCAATTTGAACATGAATTTTTTTAGTCGAGTTGAATTTATAAAATTACAACTCAATGTCAATTCGAATCGAGTAAAAAAGAACTTAAATTTTTTAATCAAGTTGAATTGAGTCAAAAAAAATTCAAATCAAGTCAAATTAACAAATTAGTTTTCTGTTACGGGAGTCATTACAGTCGTGGATTGCTTCTATGAATTATATGGTCTTAAGCTTAATGTTGCAAAATGCGAATTATTCTCTGCTGGAATATCAGTTCATAATCTAGATACTATTTTAAACTTTGCTGGATTCAAACATGGTTGCTTGCCTGTTAGATACTTAGGGGTTCCCCTTGTCACAAGGAAACTCTCTGAAAAAGACTGTGAGGTCCTAATTGACAAGTGTTTAGTTAATCGATTGATGAAATAGGCCAAGAGGGGGTGAATTAGCAATAAAAATTTCGTTGGAAGCTTTTGCAGAAAATTGAAAATATTTGCACAACGATTTAGAGTGGTTTGACTTTCTCAACCAAAGTCTACGTCCACTACCTTAGCTATCAACACTAAGGATTTTCCATAAATTCACTAATTTGTCTTTCTTTTGAGGACAAAGAGTAACCTTACAAATCCTTCAAGAATTATACCTCAAATTCTTGAGAACACTCTCTCCCAAAGAGAACAATATAAATTTTGCAAACTTACAAGAAAATCCTCACAAGGCAAGATGTTTGCACAATTCTAGAACAAAGAAAGAACACTCAAGAATAATACAATTGAGCACAATAAGTGTTCTTGGAATAAAAAATGAATATTGAATGAAATAGTGTTGAAAATGCTCAAACTTGAGGTTTGATGCTTTCTCTTTGATTCTCTCTTGATTCTTGTTGATTGTTGTTTCTTGTTGTTGATCAATGGCTTCTAAGTTTAAATACTCCTTCAATTGATTCTGAATGTTGAGGATGATTAGTGGCGTCAATGGAGTCGTTTAAGTGTGAAAACAATTAATAAAACTGCTTGGAGCGTGGGGGGAATCAGTACCCCCTCATAGGGAATCGGTTCCTGCAGTGTAAAATTCAAATATTTCGACCGTTATACAGGGGGGAATTGGTACCCTATAGGGGGGAATCGGTTCCCTCTGAGTAATCTGTTATTTCTCGGAGCCAAACCATTTAGGGGGAATCGGTACCCCTGGGGGGAATCGGTTCCCTCTGGACAAACTGTAATTTTTTGTTTTGAAAAGGTTCGAAATACTTTGTAAAATTGTTTTGAGATTATTTTAAGATTGAAACTTAATTTTACACTTTGAGTAAGGATTAAAAATGACATTTGAAAGACTTAGAGTAACAATTTGAATATTCAAATAATTGTATCGAATATTCTTTAGAAAATCATTTGTAAAATCTTAAAATTCATTTATACTTAGTTTGTTATATCGAAACATCAAAATGTTTTCAACAATCTCTCTCTTTTTGATATAACAAAACTTTTTAGTAATTTTAGGATTTTCTAATTGAAAATAAATTTTGAAATCAAATTTGAAAAATTACTATCCCCTTACTTTAACACTTCTCCCCCTTTTTGTTAAATCAAAAAGACTCTAAAATGTTTTTAAACAAGGATTTGAAAAACATTAGCCAATTAATTGAGAAATTTAAAGCTTTAAACTGCTAAGATCACAATCAAGAGAAATGCTAGTCATTAGTTCCATAAGCAATATTCATAATTAATGTGACATGGCAAAAATTGGCCATATATCTAATATGATGTAAATGATGCACAAAGTAAAAATTTAAGCAAATCCACATATATAGATAGGTTCAAATCATCCAAAAACATCCAAAAACATAAAAATCCAACATTCAAACATTCAAAATGTTAAAACAATAAGTTCTAAGTCCCATTTAAGCATGACAAGAGTCAAGAATCCGTAGGAGGATATGGAGGAGGAAAGTGAGCTCGCATTGCGGCCATCTCATGTGCAAACGAATTAATACGATCATTCATTGTTGCGTTGTTCGCGCGCATCTCTCGGATAATTTCCAATTGTTGAGCTTCCATAGTGGATAAATTGGATTCTATAGAAGTAAGTCGTGAATCCATGGATGCATATTAAAAATCGAATGTCTCCATAAAAGATTGAAAATATGGAGGCATTTGATCTCATTGTTGTGCTTGATCCTCATGCTACTCCGGCTCATCGTCAGCTTCGTCAGCTTCCGGAGGTTGCTCACTGGTACGAACCCATAGACCCGTTTCTTCATTGATCTTCCATCCCAATTTAGTTAAAGAAAATAGGTTGATTTGATTTTTGAGTGGAAGAGCGGCATCAAGGCCAACCCTAAGCTCAACTTTTGAAAACATATTACTCAGAATACAACCGTAAACTAGAGATGAACATAGTTTCTTATTAGGAACAAGATTTACGGTTTCAACAATTTCAGCAAAGATAATCTGAGGTAGGTTTATTTTAAGATTATTTTGGACATAATAAAGCCAAAATAGATCCAAGGCTCGAAGAGTGGAGTATCTGCCTCTGGATGGTCGAAACCAACAAGAGATCTTTAAATGAAGGAAATGATCATGGAGATCTAAAACACTTGCACTATCTCTTCGTTTATACTGAGAACCTACCATTTGTTTTTCATTGTCTAAGCCTGTATTATCTAATCCTAATACGTTGACTATGTATTCCGGGTCAATATAAAAGAATCGTCCTAGAAGATAGGATCGAATTCCTATGGTTGTGGTTTTAGCCTGGTTTTGAACGCAAACAACATTAGAGTAGAAGATACGAACAAGCTGATGATAAACTATTGGTTCAAGTTCACAAAGTTTATCAAATTTACACTCTCGTAGGGTATGAAGATATCTAAAATTAATGTCTAACATGGCTTGAATATATGGGATTCGTTCTTCCCGGATTTTGTAAGACTCAAAGTATTGAGAATACCTAAAGAAAAGATTTTGTCTACGACCGGGTTCATTGAAGCATGAATTACGAATGGGTCATGTTAGGATCATCGGGATTTGGATTAGGAATTTGTTGGATAGGAGGTGGATTTTGAGGTTGGTTTGATCGACTAGAAGATGGTCTAGAACGTTTGTGAGACATGACATAGGATAATCGGAATGGAAAGAATAACCTGCAATTTTAAAACACATGTATGCAACAAATATCAATCCCAAAACTGAAATGAGTCCTCAATATTTCAAGATTCTCTAAAACAATTCTAATGGGCAAAGTTTTGAAAACTATTGAAAAATAATGTTTGAAAGTCTTAATTCGTATATTTTTCATGAAAGACAACATAATTGAATCAAAAACATCAATATTTTTTTGAAAATAATATATATATTTTTTATTTCGAAATTCAAAGAAAATTTTGAAAAATTGTTCGTTTTTGATGAAATTTGCTATAAAATATAGTTTCTAAACACTAAACAATCAATGCCTGATATAATGTTCATCCTAGAACTAATCAAAACTAGTCCTAAAATCAAAATTTGATAAAATAAAAAGTTTTAGAAAAAAATACCTTGAAGATTTTCGGATTTGAGTGAGATTGGATGAAGTTTGCACGATTATAATGATTTTAGCAGGTTTAGGAGATGAAATATGATGAAATTTTGACTTGAAAATGTTGTTTTGAAGCAAAGTAGAGATTTAGGGAGATGGAGAGAGTGAAATAGCGTGTAAGAGAGAAGAGAGGGTTTTGAGAGAATAGGGTATTCTGGGCGAGTAATATCCAGAACCCGTGGTGGGTATCGATTCCCTCTATCGGTTCCCTTCAAAGGGGGAATCAGTTCTCCTTCAAGGGGGTATCGATTTCTCTTGCGCTATAATTCAAAAATTTGTATTTTAAACACTCAAAATGCTAAATTAATTTGCTCTAGTGGTATTGGCAACTCATATACTGAAAATTAATCATGTTCAATCAATCAATTTTATCCTAAGCTACATTTGAACATAAAATTAATTTTCACTGAGAATCATAAACTCCCCTAACTAATAGCAAAGAATGCAATCAAAATTTATAAATATAAGCTTTTTTCATTTATTCTTAAAAGTACTAAAATTAATTTAAACACTAAGTGAAGAAAGGTCAGTTAAACCTAATTCCCTCCTAAATGTCCAAAAAATTTCTTTGTCTAAAGGTTTTGTAAAGATATCCGCTAATTGGTGCAAAGTATCAACAAATTCTAGAACTACATCTTTCTTAGCGACATTGTCTCTAATGAAGTGATGTCTAATTTCAATATGCTTAGTTCTAGAGTGTTGGATGGGATTTTTAGTGAGACAAATATCACTAGTATTGTCACACTTGATAGGAATGGTACCTACTTCAATTCCATAATCAAAAAGTTGTTATTTCATCCATAAAACTTGTGCACAACAACTACTGGCTGAAATGTATTCTGATTCAGTAGTAGATAATGCAACACAACTTTGTTTCTTTGAAAACCAAGAAATCAGAATATTTCCAAGGAATTGGCAAGTACCGGAGGTGCTTTTCCTATCTAATTTGCATCCTCCATAATTCGCATCAGAGAAGGCATACAAGCTAAAGCTAGAGTCTCTAGGATACCAAAGTACTAAGCTAGGGTTGTCCTTAAGGTATCTAAAGATTCTCTTAACATCTAGTAAATGTGATTCCTTAGGGTATGATTGAAATCTAGCACATAAGCAAACTTCTTGAGCATATCCTTGGCGTACTTATATCTCCATTGACCATCCTCCATAATCATTGACCTATATAATTTAACATCCACGCATTTATCTCCTTCATCTTTGTTAAGCTTTGTTGATGAGCTCATTGGAGTGTCATGAGGTTTCCCATTTTCCAGTCCAAACTTCTTGAGCATATCCTTGGCGTACTTAGCTTGATTGATGAAGATGCCATATTTTCTTTGCTTGATTTGGAGTCCCAAGAAAAATGAGAGCTCCCCCATCATGCTCATCTCGAATTCACTTTGCATTAGCTTAGAAAATTCTTTCATCACTTTTAGCATCAAATTTGCCAAGATTGTCTTTACCGTTGTTTAAAACAAAACATTTACATCCAAAAGGATGAAAATATCTAATGTTAGGCTTTTTATTTTTAAACAGTTCATATGGAGTTTTCTTCAAAATAGGTCTAATCATTGCTCGATTAATAATATAACAAGCAGTATTTGTGGCTTCCGCCCAAAAATATTTTGGCAAATTGTTTTCACAAAGCATGGTTCTTAGCCATTTCTTCTAAAGTTCGATTTTCCTCTCAACAACTCCATTTTGTTGAGGAGTTCTAGGTGCTGAAAAATTATGGCTAATACCATTAGAATTACAAAACTCAGTAAATCCAAGATTTTCAAATTCAGTGCCATGATCACTCCTAACACTAGTTATGGAGTAACTTTTCTCGTTTTGGATTACTTTTAAAAATGTGATGAATTTTTTAATGCTTCATCTTTAGTACTTAAGAATAGAACCTAAGTATATCTAGAATAGTCATCTACCAAGACAAATGCATATTGTTTTCCACCCAAGCTAGTAGTCCTAGATGGCCCAAAAAAAGATCTATATAGATCAATTGTAATATTCTACTAGTTGATACATCATTAATGGACTTAAAGGAGGCTTTTCTATGTTTTCTTTTAGCACAAGCATCACAGATTTTATCATTATCAAATTTTAGATTTGGCAACACTCTTACTAAGTCTCCTTGAATTAGTTGTTGTAAAACACTCATGCAAGTATGTCCTAGTCTCCTATGCTATAACCAACTATCATGTTCATCCTTAGCAACTAGGCACAAATTAATCATATTTATAGAATCTAAATGCATCATGTATATATCCCTATTTTATGACCAACAATCATAATCAAAATAGATGCAATGTGAAACAATATTCCAAACATTTAAAATAAGACATTGTATCTTTTATCAAATTTATTTTTTAAAGGATTATGCTTTAATCCATTCATATATAAAACATTATGCAATGTCGATTTTTGAGATTAAAAGTATATGCATAAAGTTTTAAACATGTTATGCATAAAAAGTTGATATCATTGAAGATTTGAAATATATGCATAAACATTAAGAAATTTAAGGTAAAAAATTTATCAAAAATAAAGTATTTGAAAAATTGATATCAATTGTTAAAGAGATATCATTTACATTTAAAAACAATTTTGACCAAAAATTATTATGATGAACTAAAGTTATGAAAAATTACTGAAAATTTAATTTGTTCATCATAAAACATTTTTCAACATACACGAGATAAAACATAATTCTTTAGAATTAGAAACTCATGCATGCATATAAAAATGAGTAATCAAATATTCAAAGTTATTAAGTTTAGAGATTACCCATTCCTTTTTCATGTGTGGCTAGATCATCTTGAATATCATTACTTCCATCATCATTGCTCCCACACACCTACAAGAGACATTTAAGTATATTTTGCTATCCAAATTTCTTTGGATCCTTGAACGCTAGTTTCAATGTCCCTTGTTCCTTTTGAAACCCATACTTGTCTAATTTTAAAACGTTTTCATTTCTTTAAAGGACAAGTATGTTCCTTATAACCATGGTAATGACAATGTGAGCATATTGTCATTATTGAACTAGATGAATTATTTAAAATGATCTCTTTTTCTTTTGTTAAACGTTCAAGCTTAACTTCCAAATCAAAAATTTATTTTTCCATACTTTCAAATTTCATTTTTGAAAGTTCTAAATCCTTCATCAATATTTTGTTTTGATTTTCAAAATCTATTTTAGTTTCTAGAAGAAGTTTGTTTAATTTGAAAATTTCTTTTTCAAAGTTTTCAGATTTTAGTTTTGAAAGCTCTAACTCATTTTTCAACATTTCATTTTGATTTTCCAAGTCTGTTTTATCTTTCAAAAGAATATCATTTTTAGCTATAAATTTAGAAATCAAATTCCTATATTTGGAGTTCATGGTCTGAAATTCTAAAAATAATTCATCATAAGCATCTTGTAACTCATTAAAAGATTTTGAATTTAATTTATTTGAGTTAGAAGATACCTTTGGCTCTATGAGAGCTAATAGAGACATTACCTTTATTGGTTCTTCTTCTTCCTTATCTCCATGGATCTCCTAAAGCTTATCCCACATCTCCTTGGCACTTGAACAAGAAGAAAATCCTTTATATATATTAGGATTAATTGCATAACACAACATGTGCATAACCTTTGTGTTTTGTTGAGCTTTCTTTTGTTCTTGATCACTCCACTTCTTTGTCTTCTTCGTAGGAGAAGAATATCCTTTCTCGATCATCATCCAAGCTTTCATATCAAATGCTTGGATAAATATCATCATGAACTTCTTTCAACGACGATAATTTGTTCCATTGAAGTGTGGAGGCACGTCAATTAGTCTGGATTCTTCCATGGAGAATGAACCAGAAGTGGACGCCATCTTTACCGATTTAACTCTTCTTAAATCAACTCAAGAGGTGGTTAAACCTTAAAATAAGTGAGGCTCTGATACCAATTGTTGAGTTAATCGATCGATGGAATAGGCCAAGAGGGAGATGAATTGGCAATAAAAATTTCGGTGGAAACTTTTGCATAAAATTGAAAATATTTGCACAGCGATTTAGAGTGGTTCGAATTTCTCAACCAAAGTCTACGTCCACTACCTTAGCTATCCACACTAAGGATTTTCCACAAATTCACTAATTTTTCTTTCTTTCGAGGACAAAGAGTAACCTTACAAATCCCTCAAGAATTATACCCCAAATTCTTGAGAACACTCTCTCCCGAAGAGAACAATACAAATTTTGCAAACTTACAAGAAAATCCTCACAAGGCAAGATGTTTGCATAATTTTAGAACAAAGAAAGAACACTCAAGAATAATATAATTGAGCACAATAAATTTTCTTGAAAGCAAAAATGAATATTGAATGAAATAGGCTTGAAAATGCTCAAACTTGAGGTTTGATGCTTTCTCTTTGATTCTCTCTTGATTCTTGTTGATTGTTGTTTCTTGTTATTGATCAATGGCTTCTAATCTTGTTTAAATAGTCCTTCAATTGATTCTAAATGTTAGGGATGATTAATGGATTCAATGAGCCGTTTAAGTGTGAAAACAATTAATAAAACTGCTTGAAGCGTGGGGGAATTGGTACCCCCCATAGGGAATCGGTTCCTGCAGTGTAAAATTCAAATATTTCAACATTTATACAGGGGGAATCGGTACCCCCTAGGGGGAAATCGGTTCCCTCCGAGTAATTTGTTATTTCTCGGAGCCAAACCATTTAGGGGGGAATTGGTACCCCTGGGGGGAAATCGGTTCCCTCTAGACAAACTATAATTTTTTCTTTGAAAAGGTTCAAAATACTTTGTAAAATTGTTTTGAGATTATTTTAAGATTGAAACTTAATTTTACACTTTGAGTAAGGATTGAAAATGACATTTGAAAGACTTAGAGTAACAATTTGAATATTCGAATAATTGTATCGAATATTATTTAGAAAATCATTTGTAAAATCTTAAAATTCATTTATACTTAGTTTGTTATATCGAAACATCAAAATGTTTTCAACAACAAGATCAAGTCCAGACTCCATCAATGGTCAAGAAAGAATTTGAGCTATACAGGCATGCTTGAACTGGTGAAAACTGTCATTTTCAGTGTTGCTAATTACTGGTTCAGAAAATTAATCTTACAGTAATCTATTATCAACATGATTGAGCAGTTTTGTTATAGATACTTCTGGAAATGTTCTGATACTTCTGTTTCTAGAGCCAGAGTTTGTTGGGAGAATATTTTCCAGCCAAAATCTGAAGGAGGTCTCGATCTTTAGGACATCAAGACATGGAATAGAGCGTGTATGTTACACCTTATTCAGAATATTCTTACGGGGGAGGGCTTCTTGTGGGTAGCTTGGATAAAAAACTACATAATCAAGAATTCTGGCTCATAGAAGAAACAACAAGGTCTAGTTGGTGCATCAGGAGAATTTTAAAGCTTCGAAATGTTGCTCGACCAGATTTGTCTACAGGAGTAAAGAAAACTAAAGAAATTTAGGAAGAGGTTCAGACCAAAGGTATCAAAGTTCTAATGCAAAAACTGATCTAGTTTCCCCTTCATATCCCTAAACATAGCATGATTTCCTGGATGGTTATTTTGGATAGACTTCCAACTAGGGAGAGACTTCAACGTATTGGATTAGTAACTAATGGGCAATGTGTTATCTGCAATCAAGGTTTGGAAACCAGAGACCATCTCTTTGCTGAGTGCAAGATGGTTGCTACCATTTGGAGCATTATTCTACACTTCTCTTGCTTGATCAGACCTCCTTTGACTTGGGTAAACTTACTTGACTGGGCGTACACTGCATGGAAAGGTAAATCCCTACTTACAACTATCTTGAAGCTTGCTTGGTGTGCCTTCAATTATTTCATATGGGAGGAAACGAACCGAAGACTGTTTAGAGGGAACTCCAAATCACAGGATGAAATTCTAAATTCCATTAAGGAGATTGTAGGAGCTCAACTAACTGATAGGAATGCTAATAGATTAGATAGCACCAATTTAACTCTTTGTAATCAATGAGGTATAGTTTAATTTTTTGTTGTAAATAGGTTCCCCTTCTTGTTCCTTGATTAGATTGTTTTGTAGCAGTTTACTGCATTCTTAGGTAATAAAATCTTAATTATCCAAAAAATAGTTTTCTAAATTGAGTCAAAAAATTAGTTTTCGAATCAAGTCATTAAATATTTAAGTAAAATCTCAATAAAATAATATCTTTATTTATTATCAATGAATTAATGTTTATTAATTTAGAGAATGATTTATACTTCAATAAAATATTCATATGACAAAAAAAATAATTTATTAATTATGTATAAAAAAGAGAAAAAGGGTTAATGAATTCAAACAGGGATGTTCATGGACAATTAATCATATTATTTAGCTTAAACGGTTGATTAACCATTATAACGGTTATGATATTTTTCTATCTTTAATCTATCCATTATGAAATGGTTAACCGCTAATGGTTAACAATTATTAACGATTCGGTTACAGGTTAACATATAGTTGACTTATTACAATTATTTGTCAATTTTTTTTCATAATTCAATGTACAAAAAAATGTAGCACTTAATGTATACTTACACCGATGTACGTCAATAAAATAAACAAGTGTATCACTTAACACATACTTACACCAGTGTAAGTGAATAAAACAAAAAATATAGAACTTAACACATATTACACCGGTGTAAGTGAATAAAAAATGTAGCACTTAACACATACTTACAACGATGTAAGTAAATAAAATAATAAAATATAACACTTAACACATACTTACACCGATGTAAGTATGCACATTGTCACACCCTAATTTAGGGGCTAGAATTTATTAATTTTAAAGTGTCTAATTAAAGTTATATCAAGGGAGAAATTGAGGACTAAATTGTAAAATCTCAAAGTTGGCAGACCATTTTAGGAAGTTGTAGAAAATTCAAGGACTTGAACCCAAATTTACCCATTTTTATACCAGTGAAAAATAAATTTACCTGATCAATTAAACCCAAAAATTTCCCCCAAATCAAACCCGAATCCCTAACTCCCAAAATTTATCTCTCCGCCAACCCCTTTACCGCCTCAAACCACCATCGTCCGGCCACCCTTGCTCGAGTCGCCGCTACCAATAGACCCACCGTCAAACAATGATCAAAACCCGACCACCCTCCTACCGTGAAATGCTACCGTCGGTAGTGAATCGAAGATCAAAGCATCGACGAAAATCTAAGTCGGTTGCCATGAATTATCTAAGTTCCTGTTGATTTCGCCTAAGTCATCGTGCGACCAAAACTCGATAAAGACCGTTGTCCTTTCGTCACGTTGTTGAGGGGGTAAGTTCTAAATGAATTTTCAATGACTTTGATGTATTGTTGTTGTGATTTTGGGGTTGATATTGGTTAATTTACGAGTGTAGATGAATAAAGGAAGATCGACCGACCAATCGGACCTCTATCGTCGCCGCATGCGTCGCCACGCACCGGCAGTGCACGTGGGCTTCTTCCCCTACCCTGGAAGCTTCTGGATCAGTCCAGACCGCCCGAACCGATCAACCCGAATTAGTCAACCCGACCCACCTAACTCAACCCGACCCGTCTGGTCCAATCCAGTCACTGAGTCAACTCGACTGAGTCAACTTGTCGACTTTGACCGAGTCAACCCATTGACCGTTGATCGGTCTGACCAATAACTTTGACCAGTCAAATCGTTGACCGTTGACTTTGACATAAAAAGTTAAATTTTTTGAAAAGCCTTATTTTAAGTTTTTCGACTTCCTGAGTTCGAATATGAAGTCAATTTTTCCAAATTCACACTGATAAGTCGTTTTTCAATGTTTTACCTTCGGATTCAATATGGTTTCTCAATTAAGTTCAATTTCTTACGTAAATTTGATTTCTATGTATCCGAGGAATTATTGGACGTTGAAGTCAAGTTTGAGGACGATCAAATGGAGTTTAAATGGTCGACCGATATGACAAAAAAACCGATGTAATACATTACTACCTGTTTCATACTTTTTGGAACATGTTGGTATTAATTTCTGCATGGATGAGTATAATTGGTCATATGTATGTAATGATCACTTCTTAAACTCGATCCGAATATTATAAAAATTTGGTAACCGAATATGACTTATATGACTCGCTTAAGAAAGTGGAAGATCAATCGGAAATAATAATAATAAGTTCAGTGATTCAATAGTAAATAATTTGATTTTAAGATCCGGGAATTTTGATAAATTTTATTAAACGTTAAATACCGAGATTATTTGGATATGAAATTACCGAAAAAGAGCACCAAGAGATAAAATTACAAAAATGTCCTTGTAATAGAAAACGACCAAGACTTCCCCAGATACTGAAAAATAACTCTGAAATGACATACTTGACTAATTATCAGAGAAACTGTATATGATTGAATTTAAAAGAATTATTGAAATGTCATCGAGCTTTGTAATAACTATAATAACCTCCAATGATCAAATGAACAAAATACCATGAATGCTAAAGGAACTAGAATTCATTCAAGCTTAATTTATCGAAAGTATGCCAATGATAGAATTGAGTGGAATGATGATGATACACTTAAAGTGTAAAAAGCACAATGGATGGCTATGATAAGGGAGACGACCTAAGAACTTATGTTTTGATCCACTTGAAGTTTGGAATCATTGAATTAAATTCTGGATCTATATTGGAATTATAGAATTGCCCTTAAAGTGTAAAATGACTAAAATGCCCCTAAAGTATTCCAAGCCATGAAATAACTAAATACCCTCAAGCTCTGAAATGATTAAATCAACCTAGAATTCCAAAATGAGTTTATTATATGACCAAATTGAAATGAACAGAAGTACCATACGTATCCGAATTTTAGAAATGTCTGAATTACTTTGGAAAACTCCGAAGTAACCAGGATAGACTTGGCTACTAAATGAACTAAGTAACCTCAATGACTGAGGATTAAGTAAGTGATTTGGATAAGTCTGGAAACGGTGATGAATTTACATGATTTACTGTCCCTATGGGTTATGAACCACAAAGCAAATATGTTGACATTTCCTGATAGTGTTGCAACGTGGAAATGAAATAAAGACCATTCGAATATTTGCTCGTCTCCTTAAGTTCTATTCAGCGATGATTCTGAACATGATCTATGGACAAGAATGATTGGTATTAAAGAGTGAATACATTGGAAGTGCAACAAATTGACCGATTGACATGCATTAGTTATGGGAGTTGTTCAGCTCGAGTTAACTAGATATTCTGATAGATCGACACAAATCGTAAATGCCCTCAATCTTCGTTTCTCTTTTATCAGCTCAAATCACTATGATTTTTCTTGAATAATGGAATCACTCCGGTCATATCTGAAAACACAAGTAACTCAAATGCAAAGGATTCTTAATACCTTTCTGATTACTTAGTGCCTTTGAAAAATGTGCGAATACTATCCGCGAACGTAAATCCCATATCCAAATCTAATCCGAGGATCCAAAGCAGGAAAGATTAGCATGATAACAAATAAAATACCATATTGATCAATCGTGGCGATGTAAAATCTAACCCTGAAAAAATGACAAACAAAAATAACAACCAAATAACCTAAAACATGTCATAAAGACAAAGAAAAATGTACCACAAAGGTAGAAGAAAACGTGTCATAAAGGTATAGAAAAACGTACTATAAATGTAGAAGAAGACATCCTATAAAAGCATAATTATTAAAAAATAAAAAACAAGAAAGAAATAAAATATGCTACTAAAACAAAAGATAGCAATGAATACCAACAATCGACGATCAACACCACAGTTGATGTCGTTGTCGATATGATAGAGGCATTTTTTCTAGAAAAAAAATTTGGAGTTCGGGACGAGACGAGATGAATTATATGATAAATAATTTCCGGACGGGTTGGGGCAGAGTTTAAGATGAAAAAAAACAATCTAACCCGACCCGATTTAAAATATTAATTTTCTTTATATTTATATAATATATTTAAGATTTTAAGGATTTTTATTTTTATATTATATAATATATTATTTTAAAAATTTTAAATATAATAAATAATTATAAATATATAATTATAAAATACATATTTTAAAATATTAATAGATATTTTAATTTAAAAATCGGGGCGGGATAAATATTAAAATTTATCAGGGCGAGATGGGGTCAGGTTTAAGTAATACAATTTCGTGTCTAAAAACCGTCTCACCCAGTCCCATGCCCAACCCTATGTCATTGTCTTTATAATACCTAATTCAGATTAATCAATCAATAAATTTGATACAGATAATTATTCCAAAAAAAATAAATAACTTGTTGTTTCTTAAAATAAAAAATACTTAAAAGCGTTTAAAAAAATCAACGTTACTTCCGATTTTTTTTTTGAATAAGTTCCAGCTAGTCTTTATTGAAATAGAGTAAAAAATAATATAAAAAAAGTTTGTAATGAGCCCAACAAAACAAGAGCCATAAACAAAAACACCCACTAGTCCCAAACAAAGCAACAAAACATAGAAGAAATGAGTCGTGAATTAAAAAACAAAACACAAAAACAAATGAAAGACTAGCCCAGCTGAGATGCACACTGCCTTCAACAATGGAGAGGAACTTTTAAGAGTTGTAGAGCAAGGCAGAAGGCCTAAGGATCTGATGTAAGCACAAGAAGGACCACGATCCTTAAAGTCAACAAAGAGAAGAAATCCAAGCTAAGGTGGATCTAACTATCATCTATCTTTAACTACTTTTAACTACTTTTAAAGAAAAAAGGGAAATATTAATTAAACAAATTTTTTTAATTAAATAAAAAAAATGAATCATAGATCTACAAAAGATGTTGATGGCTGAATCATTTGTCAATGTCAATATAGATGAGATATCGTACTAACAACTGATGTGGATGTGATTTCTCCCACGTTCATGTAACTTGGTATTTTCGTTATTATACAGAGAGAAAAGAATAGTTCATACACTTCAGATATGGGTTTGTTGTCGAGCAGGATAGCTGCAAAGATGCTGGTAAAATATTTGAAGGTTGTATGCTTTTACTTGGTGTTTCTAAGGATTTGGTGTAGGCCTGCATTTTCATATTCAGTGGTCACCTCTCTTCCTGGTTTTAATGCTTCACTTCCTTTTAAGCTTGAAACTGGGTAAGCTTCTTACATCCTTCTGCTAATCTTTTCCTTTTATTCTTTGCATAGGTCATGATAATATTCCAAATACATGAAACTGGAATCTGGATAACATGGAATTGTTTTCTTCAACTCTTAGAACTGGTCATAACCAGTTTGATCATTTAATGTGCCTCAGATACATAGGGGTGGATGATTCGGAGCTTTTCTACTATTTTATTGAGTCAGAAAGGAATCCAGAGGAGGATCATCTCTTGCTGTGGCTCAATGGAGGCCCTGGCTGCTCTAGCGCTTGTGCGTTGTTCTTTCAATTAATAGGTAATGTGATTGTTTGATTCCTCTTATTATGTCTTAATCCCAGTCCAGGGTAGCCTGCAATTACTGCAGTAATATGTAATATGGTGATAACTTAGAATTCAAATCCATATAGCCCCCCTGCAATTTAACATGGTGGAGTACAATGGCAGCTTACCTAGTTTTTCTCTGAACCCATATGCATGGACCAAGGTGAGATCTAATTGATTTGAAGCATACAGTAGTGCTATGCCTCTTATTTCCATTTGCTTATATTTGATTTGAGAACATCATTGATAACTTTATAGGTTTCAAGTATAATCTTCTTAGATGCCCCTGTTGGTACTGGATTCTCTTATTCAAAGACGCCGCAAGGTTTCAAGACTGGGGATATGAAACATGCTATTAGTTGTTTTAAATTTTTGAAAAAGGTGTACACAAATCTCAACTTCTACCATCTCTTGTAATTAAATATGCCGTATATTGTTCTTACTTCAATAACGTCAAAAGTTAATATTTCCGGTAAAATATAAACTTTATAACCATTGAAAGGGTATGATTTTCTGTTCAGTGGTTGGAGAGCCATCCCAATTTCATCACCAATCCACTTTATATTGCCGGTATTTCGTACTCGGGCTTGATTGTACCTATAATTACACAAGCAATAGCAGATGGTAGGCACATGTTCATCCCCATAAGACTTATTTCATATATATTGTGAATCAATGGGGGCAATAACCAGGTTACTCATTTTGCTTCAGACATTGAAGACACGGGCGTGACGGTATTCAATCTCAAAGTAAGTGCTTTTCTTAGTAGCTACTTGCACTTCAAACATTTATTTTTACTATACTGGGTTTTGGATTCCAAGATGCATCAACATTTCTGGTAATTTTTGCAGGGTTATTTGGTTGGTAATCCATTAACAGACATAAAAAGTGATTTCAACGCAAGGATTCCATATTATAATCGCATGGCACTTATCTCCGATGAACTTTACAAGGTTATTGGACGTAAATCCCTTCTTCTATGGAGTAGCATATATGGATGACCACTTGCATTGAAACCTACAGTTATCTATACCCTTAATTCTAAATGATTCTTCAAGAAAATCGTAAATATATATGCTGATGTTGTTGAGATTTTTTGACTTTGCAGTCAGCCAAAAGGAATTGCAAAGGAGAATACACAGAAGTAGAAGAAGGTAACAAAAGGTGTGCAAATGATCTTCAGGTTATCTCAGAGGTAGAAATACAACTGAACCTGTTTCTTATAGGTTCATTTTTTTGGAAATGCCTGAAATCTCTCTCCGTGTCGGCGAGACATGATTAATAACACTTTTGGCTTTTGCTTTTCTAGTGCACTGCACAAATATACTCGAAGCATATCTTGGAGCCTATATGCTGCCCTTCCGGACATCGAGAAGTGGATTTTTCGGAGAATAACCGAAAATATCTTTTAGAAACATATGAAAACTCATGGCCTTCTGAATGTTTTGGATGTCGCGTAAATCTTCTTGTTCTTTGTATCTTTCACTCCACAAATGTTTTTATGTTTAGATGATTGAGCTTCTGATACAGCCATGTTACAGACCTATCCTTCTTACCTTTTGGAAGTTTGGGCAAATGATATCGGTGTCCAGAAAGCACTCCACGTAAGAATGGTAAGAATTGCAGTTTTACGCCAACAATAGAAACAAGTAACATACCCGAGTTAACATTAATGTAAATTTGATGTTGAATACCAGGGAACAATCAAAGAATGGTTCAGATGTAACAGAAGCCTGGATTTTGACAATGATGTTCAGAGTTGTGTAAGCTATCATCAACGTCTCAATACAAAAGGTTACCGAGCTCTAATATTCAGGTTATACTTTTGCTTGCTTACAGCTCTCGGCTCTCGCCATCCTATTTCTTCTGTGCTGAATCTTAGTTTCTTTACAGTGGCGACCATGACGCAGATTTTCCATATTTGGGAACTGAATCATGGATCAAGTCCTTGAATTTATCCATTGTTGATGATTGGAGGCCATGGTTTGTTGATGGTCAAGTTGGAGGGTAAGCCTATGACTATAAACAGATGTTTCTCATTTGCATAAGAGCTTAAGTATTTTCTCTGATGCCTTGGTTCTTGCAGATACTCGAGAGAATATGAAAACAATTTCACATTTGCAACTGTAAAGGCAAGCGTGCAAATTGTTGTGAATGAAAATGTTACTTACTGATTGGCAGTGAATTTTCGAAAAAATTACATGCAATGGAGTTTGAGATTTTGCAGGGAGCAGGTCATACAGCTCCAGAGTACAATCCCAAGGAAAGTTTTTCCATGTTCAATAGATGGATTTCTCAACAGCCTCTGTGATTCCAGTTACTGATATGAAAATCATGTCGCAATAAGTTAATGACAGCGGGAAACTGTGATTTATAATCTATAACTATATTACTGTTTGACTGTTAATTTCAGCATCTCCCATTTCACTTTATGTCTATCGAATACGAAGTAAACCATAATCCATACGGAACCAATAAATATAAAGTACAATATTAATGTGTATTAATAAAAAATATAAATTGAAAAAAATGAAAATTTTGTTTAATAAATATCTTCATATTTCATACTTTTAATCTTAACCATTTGTTTTCATTCATCCAACTGTAGTAAAAAATTTCACAAACTTAGAGGGGGAGGGGGCGTCGTTTTCCAACTTGTTGAACGTGCCATAATTTGTTGGGAGTGTTTCGTTTTCAGCATACAGCAAACTCTTTTCAACACTCTGACTCAGTCCATTCAATATCAATGGCGTTTAAGAACCCTATGTTGTTTATTAATGGGGTCTCTTCAGAAACTATAGAAACGAGAACACTTCAATAAGTATGGTGAAGTTCCAGAAGTTCTTATTATTGCTCTCAAAAACATCAGTAACATGTTGAATTTTTTGCGGAAGACGTCTATCGGATAGAGCAAAATCGCAACTGATAATTTGAGAAAATAAAAATGAAGATAAAAGAGACACAAAATTTACGTGGAAAACCCCTAAAAATTTAGGGTAAAAACCAAGGACAACGGTAGAAGAATTTCACTATGAGAAAATAGGAATTACAACCTCTCTCGATCTACCAAGGAGAAAACAATGATAATTCTCTCTAGATAAAAAGGAGAAAACAACTCTCAAGAAACTCTCTAAAATCTCTCTAGTATTGGAAGAAAGCTAGAATGCTTTGGGATGGTTTTGAAGCTAAATGAGCTAGGGTATTTATAGTTGAAACTTAAGGACTAATCTTATAAATACCCTAAAGTTTAGTGACTAAAGTTTATAATTTACCCATTTAATTTTCAAACATTATTGCACCTAATTTTGACATTGTTGCATCTAATTTTGATATTACAGTATTAGGTGCCTAACTTGAACCAATTTTTCAAGCTTTGACATTTCAACAATCTCCCACTTGAAGATTTGATTGGAACAATCATATCTTCACACCATTCTTTCTACCTTGTGCCATCATGTTGCTTACGTCTCTGACAGGCCACAAGAGGATCGACACCAGGTAAATTTATCAGCGTTGATCGCCTTCGTCATGAAATCTGCTATGTTGTCTTTGGTATGGATCTTCTGTATATCTACCGTTTCTTCTTCCACCTTTTCACGAATGAAATGGTATTGAACTCGTATGTGCTTAGTCCTTGAATGAAATGCTGGATTCCTTGCTAGATGCAAGGCGCTTTGACTGTCACAAAACAGAGAGACATACTCTTGATTGTGCCCAAGCTCCTCTAATAGCATCTTCAACCAAATTGCTTCTTTACTGGCTTGTGTAGCTGCTACATATTCTGCCTCTGTTGTGGACGTAGCCACAACTGACTGTAATTTTGAAACCCAGCTTACAGCTCCACCAGCAACTTTGAACACATATCATGTAGTAGATTTGCTTTTATCCAAATCCCCTGCATAGTCAGAATCTACATACCCATTAATTAGTAAGTTTGATCCTCTGTAACATAATGCAACATTTGAGGTCCCTTTGATGTATCTCAGGATCCTCTTTACTGTATTCCAATGCTCTTTGCCTGGATTCGCCATGTACCGACTAACCACTCCCACTGCTTGTGCAATGTCTGGTCTTGTGCATATCATAGCGAACATTAAACTTCCCACTACTGATGCATACGGTACTCGAGACATCTCCATCCTCTCTTCTTCACTGCTAGGACTCATACTGGAGGATAATTTGAAGTTAATAGGAAGAGGGGTAGAAATTGGCTTACAATCTTGCATGTTGAATCGTGACAAAATCTTCTTCAAGTAATTCTTTTGTGAAAGCCAAATCTTCCTATTACTTCTGTCTCAGTGAATTTGCATCCCTAGAATCTTGTTTGCTGATCCCAAGTCCTTCATTTCAAATTCCCTAGCCAGTTGTGCCTTCAATTCTTCAATATGATCTTTGTTGGGTCCTGCAACCAACATGTCATCCACATACAACAGCAATATAACAAAATCGTTATCACCAGACCTCTTGAAATAAGCACAAGGGTCTGCATTAAGTCTGTTGTATCCAAGGCACATAATGAAGGAATCAAATCTCTTATACCAACACCTCGGCGCCTGCTTTAGACCGTACAGAGATTTGTTCAACCTGCAAACCAAGTTCTTCTTTTCGTCTTCTTCAAAACCTTCAGGTTGGAGCATATAAATCTCTTCTTCAAGATTTCCATAAAGAAAAGTTGTTTTAACATCTAGCTGCTCTAGATGTAAGTCCAATGTAGCACACATTGCCAAAACTACTCGAACTGTTGTTAGTCGAACCACAGGAGAAAATATTTCATTGAAATCAATACCTTCTTTTTGAGCATATCCTTTGACCACCAGTCTTGCACGATACCTCTCAACTTGATCGTCACCATTTCGCTTGATTTTGAAGACCCATTTGTTACCAATTGGCTTTCTTCTTTGTGGTAGTGGCACAAGGTCCCATGTATTATTTTTATGAAGAGCTTCGATTTCTTCTTACATCGCCATCATCCACAGTGAAGCATCTGAGCTGTTTATTGCCTCCTGGTATGTTGATGACTCACCGTCCTCTGTTAAAAGGCAGTATGCAATATTACCTTCTATAACATAATCTGAGTGCCAATTGGGACGTCTTCTCACACGATCTGATTGACGAGTTGTTGGAGCTTCAGAACTCTCTGGTTCTTGTTCATCATGTGCTGGTTCTGCTTCAGAAGAATCTCCTTCTTCAAACTCTTTTTCCACATGTATCTGAGTAGTCTCTGACTTTTCAGCGCTATCATCGTCTTTTTTTCTTTGTAGTTTATCTTCTACAAAGATAACATCCCTGCTAATGATCACTTTGCGGGCAGTGGGATCCCACAAGCGATACCCCTTTACTCCATCAGCATACCCCAAGAATTTGCATTTTCTGGATTTTGGATCAAGCTTTGAAATTTCTTGGGCGTTGTACATCACATACACAATACTTCCAAATACATGGAGGTTTGAATAATCAACTGGTTTACCAGTCCACATCTCCATTGGTGTCTTCAGCTCTATTGTAGTTGATGGAGCTCGATTCACCAAATAACAGGCGGTATTGACTGCTTCTGCCCAGAATGATTTTTCTAGGCATGCGTCCCTCAACATTGCTCTTGTTCTTTCTAACAAGGTTCTGTTCATCCGCTCTGCCACTCCATTTTGTTGAGGAGTGTTTGCCACTGTGAACTGTCTTTTGATGCATTCTTTCCTGCAAAAGTCATCAAATTCTTCGCTTGTGTATTCTCCTCCATTATCTGTTCTGAAACACTTGATCTTATTTCCAGAATCAAGTTCCACCCGCGCTTTGAAGTTTTTGAAAGTTGAAAACACGCCTGACTTCTTCTTAATAGGGTGCACCCAACATCTCCTGGAGTAGTCATCAATAAATGAGACAAAATATTTTGCTCCACCTAGGGACGTTACTGGTGCTTGCCATACGTCAGAGTGAACCAATTCTAGAACACTTTTCCCTCTAGAATTTGATGTGTTGAATTTCAACCGGTGCTGCTTACTTGTTATGCAATGCTCACACAAAGGAAGTGATACCTTTGTTAAGCCTGGAAGTAGCTTTTGCTCCACAAGGACTTTCATTCCTTGTTCTGACATGTGTCCAAGTTTCTTATGCCATAGCATTGCAGAATCTGAACTACATGAGGCAACAAAGGCTTCTGCTTCTAGCAATGTCTCTCCCTTCAGCATGTACAAGTTTGCAGCTATATTTTCACCTTTCAGCACCACAAGCACTCCACGGAACACCTTCATGATTCCTTTCCGTGTTTCAATCTTGCTAGCATTATTATCCAACAATCCGTAGGATAATAAATTTTTCTTCATACCTTTCACGTGCCGCACATCTCGAACAACTTTAATTGTTCCATCATACATCTTCAATTTGATGGTTCCCACACCAACGATCTCTAAGGCATGATCATTGCAACTATACACAGATCCTTCTGAGACAGGTTCATAATGATGGAACCATTCTCTTCTTGAGGTCATGTGATATGTCGCTCCCAAATCAATGAGCCATATATCTGCAAATCTTTTTCTGCCTTCCACGGTGGTTGACGCTTCACAGCATAGAGTATCTCCATCATCTGAAGTGTTTACGGTATTGTCTTGTGGATTGGACTTTTTATTTAGACTCCAACAATCCTTCTTCAAGTGGCCCTTCTTTCCACAGTGGTAGCACTTTAAATTCTTCTTGCTCCTCGACTTCGATCTACCATGTTTATGACTGCTGCTTTGGCCACGTTCTGTTGATCTCCCTCTCATCGTTGTCAACGCTTCTGCTTGTTGCAGATTTACTTGTCTGTCTTCCTTGTTCTTGCGCCGATTTTCTTCTTGTAGAACAGCAGCTGCAACGTCATCGAAGACTAGACTGGTGACATTACTTTTTGTCAAGTTGATGATGAGTTGATCGTACGAATCCGGTAGACTTTGAAGTAGAAGTTCAGCACGTTCTTGTTCTCCTATTTTACAGCTTAAGGATGTAAGCTGAGAAAATAAGGTGTTCAGTGTATTTAAGTGCTCTGTCACTGAAGTAGATTCTGTTATACGGAGAGTGTACAATTTCCTCTTAAGGAAAATTTTATTGTGCAGCGATGTGGCCTCGTACAATTTGATGAGATGATCTCATATCTCCTTAGTTGTCTTCTTCTCCTCGATGCTTGACAATACTTCATCTGCTAATGCTAGATGAAAGTTTGCCATAGCATTCCCGTCCATCTCGTTCCATTTGATGTCATCTGCGAAATCCACCGACCTTTCATTGATAGCCGCTAGACACCCGTCTTTCCTTAGGATGGCCTTCATCTTCAATTTCCACAATGAGAAATTTCTCCCATTGAACTTTTTAATATCAAATTTCGTTGCCATTGCTTCGTTTACGGATAGCTCCCACTATTTCACTATCGTGAATAGTTCTCTGTAACCTTCAAAGAATGGGTAATAACTTCTTACTTTCTTATGTTGGAGGATCCACCTTTTGGTGGCAACCACAAAGACAATAAGCAGATATTACACACTCTAATCTAGCTCGGATACCAATTGTTGCGGAAGACGTATATCAGATAGAGCAAAATCGCAACTGATAATTTGAGAAAATAAAAATGAAGATAAAAGAGACACAAAATTTACGTAGAAAATCCCTAAAAATTTAGGGTAAAAACCATGGGCAACGGTAGAAGAATTTCACTATGAGAAAATAGGAATTACAACCTCTCTCGATCTACCAAGGAGAAAACAATGATAATTCTCTCTAGATAAAAAAGAGAAAACAACTCTCAAGAAACTCTCTAAAATCTCTCTAGTATTGGAAGAAAGCTAGAATGCTTTGGGATGGTTTTGAAGCTAAATGAGCTAGGGTATTTATAGTTGAAACTTAAGGACTAATTTTATAAATACCCTAAAGTTTAATGACTAAAGTTTATAATTTACCCATTTAATTTTCAAACATTATTGCACCTAATTTTGACATTGTTGCACCTAATTTTGACATTGCAATATTAGGTGCCTAACTTGAACCAATTTTCCAAGCTTTGACATTTCAACAGAATTAGATTAATTTCTCAATTGAAAATCGGTAACATGTTGAATTAGATTATTTTCTCTTTCATTCTTATTAATTTTTTAAATCAGGTTGAGGTAAAATCAACGAAACCAAAAGTGTTAATCAACAATAGGAAAATATTCGTGGGAGGGTTACCTCATGCCATAACCCACGAAGATTTCACACAAAATTTTGATGCATTCGGAACCGTCACTGATGCGGTCATAGTACCCAATAGCCAAACCAAAATAAGCAGAGGGTTCGGATTTGTGACTTATGATTCGGAGGAAGCGGTAAAGCGAGTTTTGAAAAACAGGTTCCATCAATTACAAGGGAAGAGGGTTGAAGTGAAAAAGGTCGTGCCAAAAGAACATATGCGTAACGAACCCACTAGATTTAATCATAGTAATAGTTATGGAGCTATTTATAATGTGAATTCTCAGCCATATTGGTTGGGTTTCTACGATGACTACCATCATACAAATTGCTTTAATTTATGTTATTTATTATTGTATTATATGTAATAGTTTACGGTAATAATAAATTTAATCTCCATAATTCATTAACATGATGATTAATTTCAATTTTTCTATCATCGTTATTTAGTGTATATCAAATCATGGGTTAATACCAAAACTAAATTTGTAAGATAATTGCTATTTTGAATTGCATTACAGTGAGGACAGTAAAAGTGGAAAACAGTAAATAAAACCAGAATTCGGGGACCTTGTAGTAGACAATGCTCCCAAAGAGTTAATGGATTGATGAATGAAAGCAACCCCACAAACAACCCTTAAGAGACATTTGTGCATATCCCTTCTTTCTTCTCCACGATTACTTGCTCTGTTTAACAGCACTGACTTGACAATCCCTTCCGGAGGTTCGATTTTTGGGTGGATAAGTTGATCATTTTCAATCTAATTAACTAAAAAATAATGAAAGAGAAATTAGGTTTTATAGTAAGGCTTAGTAATCACGGCATAATGTTTGAAGCAGGTGTCATTCCGAAGGTGAAGCTGGTGAAGAATTTTGCTGAATGGGGGCGATTGTTTTCTAATCAATGAACTTAACCATCAATTATTAAATTTGTTAAGGATCGATATTAAAATTCCTATACGCATGGGGAAGGATTATCACCCCACATCGTTCAAAATTGATATATATTCGATTACTTCATATTATGAAATTGAAAATTTTGAGTTTGAAATTTTATTTAATTTAAAATACACTATGTATGCAAAATTTAAAAAATGATGTTGATTTACCAAGACCAACAACGAACACCCCCAAGCACAAGTGAAGTTTCGTTATTGACCACAATAAATTAACATTGCCTTAATTTAAGAAATATGACGCAAGTTTGAAAATGATATCAATTTATTTCGGGAATCAACAGTGGTCACACCCAAGCAATGGCGGAGGATACACCATTAGGTACCTAAATAAATTAACATTGCCTTGATTTTAAAAATAGACATGCAATCAGACAATTCATTATTAAACCTAATTACACTAAATGGTTAATTAAATCAAATTTCTAACCTAGAGTGTCAAATTATGAAATTTAATGAACTTAAGAGATTAAACCTAGAAATTGTAGTCTCTAATATTAATCCTTTTTAATTTTTAACTAATTATTGAATCGAATAACCAATAAGAACCCTTGGGCATTTAAATGCAATGACCAAATCGAATATTCCCTAAATTAAAGGACTAAAATAAAATTTAACCTAAAGTGAAGGCTCTAATAATTAATTTTTACCAAATTATTGATTTGAGCAATTGATAGAACCCTAAGGCATTTAATACAAGATTCAAATCGAAATACCCCTAATTAAAAGTATGAGGACTAAAAAGTGAATTAACTAAATCAAAGGTTTATATTTAAAAAAAACTAATTAATAAGGTTTTACTAAAAGCTAAAATTAGAAACATAACTTTAAATTTTAGCACTAATCAAGTTTACAATAAGAAAACCTAAGGGTACTAAGAATTTAAACTAAGACAAAACAATCGGTTAGTACTAAATTGAATAAATGAGATTGATTAATCAAACAAATTACAAGGATTAAAATGAAAACATGTGAAACATAATGATAAAATTAAAAACTAAGCCTAACCTATATTCAAAATTAATTAGAAACAGATCGTAAATAGTGACCTGAATATAAAATACGTTACAAATATAGGGACGAAAACTTAATTAATCCTAAAACCTAACTATAAATACCTAATTATAATTAGGTTAAGGCTAACCTAATCACTCGGCTGTTTACCTCTTCTCCCTGAACCTCTGTGTGTGTTTTCTCTCTAAATCGAGAACCCTTAAGGCTCTCCGTTTCGCAAGCCACCGCTCGCTTGTCGCCATCCTCATCTCCAACCAACATTAAAACGTCCTCTTTTCTTACTTAACAGCCAAACCTAAACCTAAACTGCCTGAAGATCCCTAAAAGTCCCCTAGAAATCTCTTTTATCTCTCGGGTTTCACTCTCTAGCAAGCCTAGCGACCGTTCAACGCGCACTTATAAAACTTTACTCTCAACGCCTACACCCTAAAACCG